GCGAAGTCGTTCTTCTTTTTGAGTAGGGAGAAAAATTTGTGACTTCGATCTGATGATCTTGAAATGAATCGGCCTAAGGCTGCAATTCTTCCCGTTAACCTTTGTACAACTTTCATGCTGTCCACGATGGTGATGTCTTCGATGGCCTTGATTTTGTCGGGGTTGATCTCAATTCCCCGATTTGACACCATGAAGCCGAGGAACTTGCCTGAACCGACCCCGAAAGCACATTTTTCGAGGTTGAGCTTCATGTTGTATTTCCTCAGAATCTCGAACGTTTCCTGCAAATGGGCTAAATGGTCCTCTGCGCGCAGGGACTTAACTAGCATGTCATCAATATAGACTTCCATGGATTTACCTATTTGTTCTTCGAACATTCTGTTTACTAGGCGTTGATAAGTAGCTCCTGCATTTTTTAGCCCGAAGGGCATTACGTTATAACAATATGTTCCATATCGGGTCACAAATGAAGTCTTTTCCCGGTCGTCTGGGTTCATATGAATTTGATTATACCCGGAATAGGCGTCGAGAAAGGTGAGGATCTCATGGTCGGCCGTGGCATCGATCATACGATCGATGTTGGGCAGTGGAAAGGAATCTTTGGGGCATGCTTGGTTCAAGTCCTTATAGTCCACACACATTCTAAGTTTGTTCCCTTTTTTAGGTACTACAACCACATTGGCTAACCATTCGGGGTATTTTACCTCCCGAATGGACCCTATCTTGAGAAGTTTGGTTACCTCGTCCTTTATGAATGCGTGCTTCTCCTCGGACTGGGGCCTTCTTTTTTGCTTCACCGGTCAGAACCTAGGGTTCAAGCTTAGTTGGTGCGCCGTTATGTCCGGTGGGATCCCTGTTATATCTAGATGGGACCAGGCAAAACAGTTGATGTTATTGATAAGAAATTGAATGAGTTTCTTCCTGAGTTCGGGGCTCAAACCCGTTCCCAGGTATACCTTTCGTTCGGGCCAGTGTTCGATCAGTATGATTTGCTCCAGTTCCTCAATTGTTGATTTGGTGGCATCGAAATCATCGAGGGTTACGAAGGATCGAGGGATCCATAGATCATCATCATCTTCTCCAATGTTCTGCTTACCTGGCTGGGTCGAAGCCGGTGTCTGTGATTGCTATTTGGCGCTCTACTCTCCGATTGTGTCTCCTTCTGAACCTGATCCTTTTATCGGCGAAGACGAGGATATTGATTTTGCTTCTTCGACGGAGAACATTTCCTTTGCGGTCGGTTGTTCTCCGTACACTATTTTGGCACCTCCCGGTGTTGGGAATTTGAGGACCTGGTGTAGGGTCGAAGGTACGGCTCTCATGCTGTGGATCCACAGCCTTCCGAAAAGGGCGTTATATCTCATATCACATTCGATCACGTGAAACTTTGTTTCCTGGATGGTTTCGGCCTCGTTTATCGGTAGGGTAATCTCGCCTTTGGTGGTTTCAAATGCCATATTGAATCCGTTTAGAACCAAAGTTGCGGGTACAACCTGATCTTGCAGGCCGAGCTGTTCTACGACCCTCGATCTGATGATATTAGCCGAGCTACCTGGATCAATTAACACATGCTTAATCTTAGTTTTATTCATGAGTACGGATATTACCAGTGCATCGTTATGGGGTTGGATGATTCCCTCTGTATCTTCATCACTGAAGGACAAAGTCTCTATAGGTGTATAATCTTGAGTTCGAGATCGCTTTTCCCTCACAATCGATATTTTAGTGAGTTTAAGCATCGGTCCCTGAGGGGCATCGACGCCGCCGATGATCATGTGAATGGTGTGATGCGGTTCTTCTGGCTCGTTTTGCTTGCCGAATTCCTTGTTCCTAAAATGGTTCTTCGCCCTATCACTCAGAAATTCCCGAAGGTGTCCTTTGTTAAATAAGAGGGCTACTTCCTCTCTTAGTTGCCTGCAATCTTTCGTTCTGTGGCCATAGGTGCCATGATATTTGCACATTTGATTGGGATTCCTTTGGGCAGGATCGATCTGCATGGGTCGAGGCCATATGGTGTCTTTGATGCGTCTGATGGCCGATACGATGGCGGATGTATCAATGTTGAAGTTATACTCCGACAATCGAGGGACTTCTATAGGATCGGCATATTTATCAAAGCCGCTCTTGCTCATAAGTCCTCGAGAATTTTGCCCCCGATCAGTCCTTCGGTTGTTCCGAACCGTATCACGTGCTAAACCGTTATTCATACGATCTGTGTCATACGGTTGGTATCGGTCTCTGTTCAACCTTTGTTCTCTGTTGATTTCCCTCTGATTTCCCCCTGATTTTTAATTGGTACCGGTTGTGTATATCTGCCCAAGTTATTATTGGGTACTCGATCAAATTTTGTTTCAGACGACGTGATGCTGTCGAACTTAGCCCGTTCAGTCCTTGGGTGAAAGCTTGTACGACCCAATCGTCTGTGACCGGTGGCGAGTCCATACGTTCCATTTGAAATCGGGATACCAATTCCCTCAGCATTTCGTTACCCCTTTGTTTTACTTTGAAGAGGTCTGATTTCCTTGTTGCAATCTTTATGGCACCAACATGTGCTTTTACGAACGAATCTGCTAACATGGCAAAAGAATCAATGGAATTTGGTGGTAAGTTGTAATACCAGATCATTGTTCCCTTTGCGAGGGTTTCTCCGAACTTTTTCAACAACACGAATTTGATCTCATCATCCTCTAAATCGTTGCCTTTGATGGCACATGTGTAGGAGGTGATGTGTTCGTTAGGATCGGTCGTACCGTTATATTTGAGAATTTCGGGCATACGAAATTTTTTGGGGATTGGTTTTGGGGCCGCGCTCGAGGGAAAAGGCTTTTGTATGAATTTTTTCGAATCGAGCCCTTTTATCATTGGCGGAGCCCCCAGGATTTGATCGATCCTAGCGTTATACGTTTCCACTTTTTTGTCGTTGGATTCGACTCATTTTGTGAGTTCCTCGAGCAATTTAGCAATTTCAGGAGTGGTCCCCAATTCCTGCTCGTTTGATTTTACTACGGCGGGCTCCGTTCTGGGGGTGACTTCTCGAAGAAGCGGATTGGAGTTCGGCCCGCTTTGCATATGAGTTCGGCTCTGCAACTGAGCTATCGCTGCTTGTTGGGCTTGTAATATTTCGAAAATCATATGCAAGCTGACCCCGATTTCCCCCGTGCTGTAGGTGTCTCGGGCTATGGGTCGAGCGCCGCCCTGAACGCTTATTTCCGGTTCAGAACGTGATTTGCTTCTAGAGCTATTTGTGAATTGATATCCAATGGTACTTCGGCTCGAATTTCGGGTTCTTCGATTCGAGCCTTGTTGCCGTCGTCAGGTAGCCTTCCGGCCTCGGGCGCCAAGTTATTGGTTTCATCTTGAAGGCCAGCTTCGAGGTCGATAGGTAGAGCCATTGCTGATTTGAAGTTGTAAGCTGGAGCGTACTGTAGATTTATATCAAACAATCACCATTACCCTTAGCCCCACGGTGGGCGCCAAACTGTTTACCCGAAAAATCAGATAACGTTAAATTTAGATATGGTTCTAATGGTATATAAATTCCTTTGATACAAAATGACAATACAAGTATTTTTGCTATAAAATGGGAATGATGGACGGGAAGACTGAAATGAGTTAGAAAAGCAAGCACAATAAAATCTTAATGTATTTTGGAGGACCTCCGTCTATTGCAGTCTATCCCCCTTTTTATAGTAGAGGGTCACTTCTTTATCTATAATAACATAATAAAATAATACATATAGTGGAGGACCCATGATGGTTTGTCTCTTCCTTGATTCTTGCCAAGATTCTCTCCCTCGGTGCGGTTGTAACGGCTCTTGTCTGCGAGCTTGGCACTGGCTCGAGCTCGGTGTTAGATCGAACCCTCAATCTTGGTTCGAGCTCGATTCTGCCTTGGGGCATCGATATTCGGGGCCTGTGCTGATCGGTGTTGCCCCGTAGTCCGATTTGGACACGGGCTCGATAATGATATCGAGTTTTGCCGTCGATTGGTCTTATAGCTCGAAGCTCGACGCCCCTACTTCGGAATTCGTCCAAGCTTGTCATGTGAATACCCTTCGATTGAAACGTCATTGTCTCGACTGGTCTTTATGACTGAGAATCGATTTTGACCGTACACAAAACTTTTCAAATTGCAGTTGAATAGAACCTTAAATTGTTACTTATTATTAGATTTTAAATTGTTAGATTAGTTAAGGATTAGATATTAGTATTAGCCTAATTAACTTTTGCTTTCTGAAAAATACAATAAAATAAAAATGCACATTTTATGGAATTATTCTCTTTATATTAAGAAAAAATATATTATACAGATTAACATCGGAACCAAATAAAAATGCAATGCATATTTTTCTGGTCAAATGCAGTGCATATTAACTTGTAAAAGATCATAACAAAGTATACAAAATCACAGCTAATCATTTCTTTATGCAGTGAAAATAGACAGCGAACTTGGCAACCTTAATTTAAAATTTGTGTTCTACTATTAAAAGCATGTTAAAAGCTTGCAATTAAATGATTAGTATTATAACTTTTTATAGTTTAATTCTTATTTTTCTTTTTACATTAAAAAGATTTGAGAGTATCTAACATGTGACGTAAATAAGGATGCAAAGTTACCATGTAAAAATCATGAAGAATGGGATGTAAAAGTTTAATCAAGTGGGGCGGATTGGGTCAAGACCCATTAATTAGCTCATCTTGACCCAAATGAACTTTAGATAGAGTTGTGAAATGACTCATTTATTAGTTCAGTCCATTTATACCTATTCAAATTCAGCTCAAACAGCCCATTTGTCACCCCTATTCATGAGGTTTGAACTATTCAAATTCAAATCTCCATTAAATGTTAATAAATGGGGCCTAAATAGTTGGTCTAAAATTGTGAGGGGTCTATCGTTGATCAAGTCATCTATGGGGGGGGGGGGGGGGGGGGTTGGTTAATGCAAATTTCCCTAAAATAATTCCAAGGAAAAGAAAAAGAAAAAAAAACTTCTCGAGGTCAAGTAAAAGGGCAAAGTTGAGAACAAATTGAAAATACCAAAAAGGTAACAAAACGGCGTCGGATCCTCCATGGTTTCAGCGATCAAACCGGTGCTGGAGTGTCAACGACAAAGCAGAGAGGGTTTAATGGGCAAAACCGATTAGATTAATAATTCTTCAAATTCCTTGATTTTGGTTGAAGTGGTATCTCAGATTGTCGATCGTATATTGAAATTTTGAGTAGGTGATTGATTTGGAGGAGGATGGTGCTGGTATTAGCATTGGGCGATCTTCACATCCCGCATAGGGCTGCTGATCTTCCCGCTAAGTTTAAGTCTATGCTTGTTCCTGGAAAGATCCAACATATCATCTGTACTGGTAACCTCTGCATTAAAGTGAGTCTTTCTCTACCCTTTAATTCATCCAAATTAATTAGTATTAGTTGGCCGATTAAACTAAGAAAATGCTGTTGCTATAAATTAATGTTGTTGCATGTATGTTTTTTTTTTGCTATACCTAATGGGCTATTTTATAAAACTAAAGGCAACAGCTGTTTAATGTTAGCTATTCTTTTCCAATATTGTTGCAAGCATCGGAATTGTTTTAAAGGATAAGTTTGTCTATTAATGAAATCTTTTACTTCATCAAAAAGAAAAAGTTGTTTGATTTCTTTTCCTGCGAAGAATTCAGATTGAGTAATAGATAGACTACTAAATAAGAGAAAATTTGGAAACTATGGAAGGGAGTGTTGGATAGGTTATTATAGCTAGACATGGATGTGTCTTGAGCAGCTCCTGGCAGAAAGCCTAGAAGACTGGTGTGAATGGCTTTGGATAATCAAGCGAGCAGAGTATAACAAATAATTTTATTCACGTCTCACCTACGGCAATGAGTTTAGATTTCTTTTCCACAGGGAATGAAATAATTTGTTGCAGTAACTATCAAAAATTTTAAAGAGTTCATTTGGGCAAACTTCCCCCACTTATATGCTACAAACTAGTAGTATAACATAAGTAGAAAGATCCCATGTTTTATCACCGATTGATGTTTATTATTTGGTTATTCACTTTTATAAGTTACCTATTGATGAATCCTAGGGCTTGTATATAAAATCTTTTGTTTCAAGCATTTGTTTGAGTGAGGAGTAATTGGTAGTTAGTTGTTTAAACTCACTTTTTCAATGTCATGATTGGATATAAATGTGGCCGGATTTTTTTAATTGAATAACCTTTTGAATCATTATTCTTTTAGATTGTGCTTGCTTTGACTTGCATTTTTTCTCCATAATAAATTCTATTCCAATAGTGTGGCATTAGACATTCCGTGGCTATAATTCCTGGTTGCTGCAGACTTATCACTTTTAACCTCAGCATTATTTTGTTCTCTCCCAAATCCTATAATTTTCTTTCAGTTAGACTGTTTAAAATAAAACAAAGAAATTTTCTGCAAATCATTTTTCTGAAAGCTTTGGTTTTTGCCTATTACTCTACGTAACCTCAACTTTCAAGCTTAAACTTATTAGTTGCTTATGCATGAGGGCAATTATCTTGATATGGTTTGTGCTTTTGGCAAAGATATTCCACTATTAGAGCTGTAGTTGAATAAGAGAGGTAACTTATATCTGTCCCATTGCTGTCAAAGGATTTGATGGAAAGCGCAGAAGTGCCAAGCGCAAAGAACAACCTAAGCCGTGAGCTTTATTGTTTAAGCATGCTTGAAAGGACGCCTTTCAAAACACTGTTCTATGTTGTGCGCTTGTGGAGAAGAATTGGAGATGCTAAGTGTCCGTTCTGTGTTATGAGACCAATTTATCATTGTTTCTTGTAATCTGAAATAAAAATCTGCAAGTCAAGATAATGCTAATTTTGGAGTAATTAGTCATTTGGCATATATCTTTTCAGTTAACCAAGAATGAAGACCTTGCTCCTTGGTTTATTTAGGAATTTTTTTTGATGAAAAGGTTTATCTATTTATTTAGGAAACTCAAGTGCATTTACTCCATAAGTACTGTTTTATCTGCGGGCTACTTCCACAAGTGTGCTCTAATTACACATTTTGCATCTAAGTTGTATTAAACATCTTCTGGGAATAACCATTCCAACAATTTGTGTGATTTATTTTGCCTTAACAAATTTGTTTTGTTTATTACTCCCAAATACTTATTACATTCAGTGTGGATGTTCCTGTTCTAGATCGTTTGGCATCCAAGTCAAATATAGGTTCTTTATGAAAATTATTAAATACCTTATCCAATTTACATCTGCAGGAGGTTCATGATTACTTAAAGACTCTTTGTCCTGACTTGCATATTGCTAGAGGCGAGTATGATGAGGAGACACGTTACCCCGAGACCAAGACGCTAACAATTGGTCAATTTAAGCTTGGACTATGCCATGGCCACCAGGTCTGATTCACCATTCTTTCTTGTCACTTGCTGTCCTGCTTTAAGCTGATGAGGCAAAACATTTGGGTTATTCAGGTGGTCGGAATTCTTGTCAGGGATAAACCTAACACCTAAGTACTCTTTACTTAGTGGTATGGTATGTAGCAGATACATATGTATTAACATGCACCCTGCCCTCTCTGCGATTTTTCTGCTTTTCCACGGTTTCAGGTTCTTATGTATGCCTTGATTTATATATAAGTGCTTCCGCCAAATTTATCTATTCATCTTGTTAAGAAACTTTTGCTAGTGTGTCATTGTAAGAAAGTTAATTTACTTGCAATAACATTCTTGCTTAGCATAACATTGAAGTTTGGTTGCATTTGTGAGACTCAAAGGCATTTATCTTGTACTGCCAAAAAAGTCCTGCCGTATTTATCGTGGGTTCTTTCCTCAAGATGTAATACAATGTCTCTCCAATATTCCCACAACTAACTTAAAAGAATATTATGGCTAAATTTGTACTCTATCTTGGTCTCTGGCTCATTATTTTTTCACTTTTTGACCCACTATCTCCTTTTTTGGTCTCTTCTAAACTTTTTGCTTACATTTTTTTTAGAAATAGTTTTCCGCTTTTGAAAATTTAGCACTCTAAACTGAACTATTTATATGCGAATTATTTGAGAAATATTGCTTAGTCCTCAAGCCTGCCGCCTTTTCTATTCGTAATGGTATGTTCCACTTTTTTTTTTTTGGTCGTCCAGGTTATTCCATGGGGTGACTTGGACTCATTAGCCATGCTTCAAAGGCAATTGGATGTTGACATACTTGTGACTGGCCACACCCATCAGTTCACAGCATACAAACATGAAGCAGGGGTTGTTATAAATCCGGGATCTGCTACTGGTGCCTACAGTAGCATCACATATGATGTCAACCCTAGCTTTGTTTTAATGGACATTGATGCCCTGCGTGTTGTGGTCTATGTTTATGAACTCATCGATGGAGAAGTCAAAGTTGACAAGATTGATTTCAAGAAGACAACAACACAGAATGCTAACTGAATAGCAGAATAGTAATTCAGCTGATTTTGGTGGAATCTTAAGAGTTGATAAGACATTATATTCCTTTGTTTGCTTGCTTCCAAGGCATTTTCGGCTGCCTTTGTTCTTTATTTTCCTGTTGCTTCTGATTATTCAGGTTTATGTCCAGTTACTCGAGTCAGTGTGCATTGAGAATTCAGTTGGTTAAATTGGTAAGTCTTCTGGGGGAAAAGGGGTTGGAAAAAGTCCACTGTTTATTATGCTACTAAATTCCTTTTTTTTTTTTTTAATATATATGTTCGTAAGTTGATAGACTGATTGTGGCTTTTGCTACGATAGTAAAGTAGAAACATTAAGACTATGCATAAATGTTTCTGTTAAATATCTTCTTTTGTAAGCGTGAATAGATCTGTCTATCTCGAAATTAAACTTTTCTTACTGAAAGGTTCTCTACTCCCAGAGTCTGGACTCGAGTGTTAAAGGTGAAGGGATCTATTACCATCTGACCACTTCTCTATAGTGGTTACCTTGAAATTAGTTGCTGCAACATTGTGCCTGACCAGCTCGTTTTTCGGACAAACCCGGTAGAACATTGAAGGGGCTCCGTTGAGGGTTGGATACTGATGTAAACTAAGAGTTCACCAAACTGATAGAGAACTCTATCAGTTCCCACAGAACACACACAGAGCAGTATGTAAATGACACAGCAGTATTTTACGTGAAAAACTCTCAGTTCACGAGATTAAAAACTACGACCTACACTCGTAGGATTTTAACTTCACTAACCGGGCAACTTTAGATTACAACCTATTGTAACCTAGGAATTAACCTCTTAATCCTTAATCAGCTTGCAATAACTCTATTGCAAGCTTCATTGTAATAACTCTATTACAAAGCTCATCACTTTGACCAACTCTAGTCAAACACAAACACACGGTTTATGATTTTCAGAAGATATCCTACAAGATGCTTCTAACTAAGCTGAGTAGGAATTACAAGTGAATAACATTAACAAAGAGACAACAATACTAAGGACACACGATAAACTCAGTGTTGGGATCTGGTCCTTTGTTCTGTTGCTACTTTGTTCTTCAAGCCTTTGAGTCAATGAAGGCAGCGACACATTTGAGAGAGACTTAATGATTTAGGGTTTGCAAGTGTGTGTTTTCCCTTGCCTCATGTTGGTAATATATAAGTGAGGTCATTGGGGTGGTGTAAGCAAGTATCTGGTACATAGCATGCTCCATAAAGTGATTGTTGCACTGTTGTGTGTGCAGTGCAACAACTTTAACACCCGTAAAGAGTTTGACTTGTACTGTGATCGGAGGAACTGATAGCTATTTGTTCCCTCTGCCGTTTCTTTGACTGATATTATTGGAACTTGTGCCAGACATGTGACTTGTTGTTCCGAGCACTTTGAGATTGTGTAACAAGTTCCCTATCTGATTCTTATATGAAGTTTGTTAAATTATCAAAATAAAAAACGCATAACTTATCAGATACATTCCACTTCAAACCCCAATAAAATTTTATTGGCACTCGGCTGTAGTGTCTCATAAGGTGAATTTAATAATCATCTGCCTCTTAGAACCCAATTCAGTTCATATATGGCATGGACTGGACATTCAATGTGTAACCTCTTCACACCCCAATTAACGACTAGTGTGATGCATGAGCTCTTGATTTTTTTTCTTAAAATGAATAACTATTCGCCGTTTGTAGAACCAATGGACACGGATCAATTGTATATATGCATTGAGCTAGAAATGTCTAGGAGATGGGATGCCATTGCCAATATGAATCTTGATTTGGATATCAGAAAATCGTGCGTTTATTATGCTGTCTGTGAATTTTATTAACGAGATCCTTTAATAGCACGAGTTATGTACTGCTGCATTGGGAATAACTGTTTTCATGACTTGGGAATTTGTTTACATGAATTCAGAATACATTGGTAGCATTCCAACGAAACCAAGGCACTGAGTACATCTAGTTAAAAAATAGAAATAATCAGTGAAATATGAGATAAATTGGTAACTCAGAGCTACCTTTTATTGTTAACCCCAGAATAAAAATAAGCTAATATAAATGCAAGTCATACTACACAAGAAATGGTCTCTCAACTATACCATAACCATGAAAATCTAAAAGGAGAGGGGAAGAAATGAAATAACTAAACGACCCTAGTGTAGCAATCTCAGAACTTCCTATTAGGCAGTGAACCTATATACCATAATGTGCTTATAAGTTTCCCCTGGATTCACAATCTGAGAAGGAAAATTGGGATGATTAACAGAATCTGGGAAGCCTTGTGTCTCCAAACAAAGTGCAGCATACTTTGAGTAAACAAATCCACCTTTTCCCTTAGCATTTTCCAACATATTACTTGTGTAAAACTGGACACCAGGTTTATTTGTCCACAGTTCCATCTTTCTACCTGATTTGCTTTCTTGAACAATTGCCACCCTTTGCAAATGCTTTCCCTCAGTATTATCCAACACATAGTTGATATCATATCCACCTGGTATATCACTGAACTTGCTCCCTATTGTCCTTGGCTTGAGGAAATCATAGGCTGTTCCTTCAACCGGAGTAATTTGTCCGGTGGGGATAAGCTTATCATTAACAGGAGTTATCTTTGATCCGAAAAGCTGAATAGTGTGGGAGAAAATGTTGCCGCTGGTGTGTCCACCGAGATTCCAGTAAGTATGTGATGCTAAATTGACTGGTGTTGCTTTGTTTAGAGGCTTTGCTTGCATTTTTATGGCTAACTTGTTTGTCCCAATGAACATGTATGTTACCTTGACAGAAAGGTCACCAGGAAATCCTGTTTCACAACATCTGATTATCAATATTTGTCTTGGAAAATTTGTGCTTTTAGTCACAAATTTTGAATTTGGTCCTTATGATTTAGCATTCACATAATTGAACTTGTGCACATGTGATCCCCAAACTAGAGAATCTATTTAATTGTTAAACTATTTAATTACCGGTGAAATTTGCACTATTTTGAAGGCGATATATAGGTTGTTTGGCCAAGCTTCTCCATGGCAAAAAACACTTTTTTCCCAAAAAAAAAAAAAAGTATTTTTTTTCAAAGTTGAAGCGTTTGGCCAAGCTTTTAAAAGTAAAAAAAAAAATATTTTTGAGTAAAACCAGAAACAATTTCGGAAATGCAGAGAAAAAACAGTTTCTCCCTAAAATCACTTTTTTGAAAATCACTTTTAAGCAAAAAAATATTTAAAAACACTTATTAGCAGCTTGACCAATCAAAAATAATTTTCCAATTAATTAGCCAGTCTTAAATAATAGTCTAGATATACCATATTTCTCATATAAAGGGAACAAATATGCACAATTTGATTACTTGAAGGTTAATATGTTAGCCTAATATCACAAAGGGGATAATTTATGCATACCTTGTTCACCATCAAAGCTGTTGTAGGTAAGAGTAAGATGACTATCTTCTTGATAATCTTCCACTGTCCATATCACATCACTGAATCCTTTGCTACCCCCTGATTTAAAACGAATATGTTAATGTTAATTAAAATGGAGAACTTTTACAACAAAAAAGGATTAATAATAAATATATACCATGGAGTGTGTTTCCATGATCATTAGCTGGTAATTTATATTCGACTCCATTTAACTCGAATTTTGCTCCTCCAATTCTGTTAGCCACGCGCCCAATAAGGCCACCAAAGTATGTGGTGTCGTTCTACAGTACATTAAATAATAACCTTAATCAAGAATCAAACATACAAAAATTCAAGATCTTTTACAAAAACATATGAATTTGTCCTCAGAAAAAACATTATGAAAAATGACTAATATAATTTTATGTAAGACAAAGGGGATCACAGAAACTAACCTTGTAGTCTTCGATGGAGTTGTACCCAAGAACAACATCATCCAAGTTTCCTTAAAACAAGGATTAAAAGTTAAGAGTTTTAGAAACAACAAGATATGAAACTGAAAGTGCATATAAATGTAGTAAGAAATAAACAGAGAAGAGGGAGAGAAGTATACCATTTTTATCAGGGAGTATGACAGAAAGAACGGTTGCACCATAGTTTGTGATCTTAACAGAAAAATCACCCTTTTTCAACTCGTACACTTTTATTTCTTCCTCTGCTGTACATGGATTTCCAAGAATAAGAATGATAAGAGCAAAACAATAGAGAAGAGAGGTTTTGGCCATTGTTGATGGGGACAGAGAGATGAATCAAAGATGAGTTTGCGTTGGCTGGTCTATAAATAGTCGTAGGTGAAGTTGTTAAATGACAAAATGGTTAGAAATTTAATACTAAAAGATTTGGGAAATTCATGTTGATAAGGAAAGATATTTGAATAGTGTGGATAAGGACAAATATCCAAACAAAGAGACAGTAGTAAAGACGTATTAGGATTTTAGAGCAAGTATGATAGCCAGATTCTCGAGATTCTCCATTATTTTATGTAGTACTAGTATTTGTTACTAGCTAAAAATAAAAATGCCAAAAGATATGTAGAAGAATCTTTTTCTAAATGCAACTAAGTTCCTTTTTCTGAAGTGAGTATAAAATCCTCACATCTTAAAGCCACAGTTATCATATTACTAAACAGGAATAATAGTAATTTTGGTCTCTCAATCTTTGATAAATTTTAATTTTGGTACTTGTAAAATATGATAAAGTATACTTAACCTTCAAATTTATTAAAATATATGTTTTTCTCCATTTATATTTGAAATATATTATATTTAGATTATTTTTATAACTATATTATCCTCAAATCTGGAGTTACGCTACACATTTAATATAACACAGGGGTAGTCTGATGATGTAAGGGATCAAAAGCAAAAGGATCAAAAGTGCACATTTAATTAATTAAAGGTTAAATGTGCTTTGCCAGATATCTAAAGGATCAAATTCAAAATTTGTCGATATCTAAGGACTAAAAGTGCAAATTTCCCCACTAATTAAATACTATAGTGTGTACATGTGAAGAAAATATTAAACATATATCTTTTCTTGAGGGAGCAGGGGTTCATGCAAGTCCTTATAGGGAAAAAGATATACTTCGAAATAATTCAAATTATGCACTCTCTAATTTTTCTAAGAAGTGATAAAAGTTCTAGTGATGATCTACTACACACAATGCTAATATGCTATAAATATTCTTTTCATTTAGTTTAGGCTCAGTCCATAACGGTTTTGCTATTTCTTTTTAAATATCGGAGATTTGAAATGAACATTGACAGAAAGATAATATTATATCATTTTTCAGGCCATAAATGGAGTTTGCAGTTTGTTCAGATGTCAGGAATGGAAAGA